AATTAGTCCTGTCACATTCTGATTCACTTATTTTAATTTCAGCTAGGATTCTAATAAACAATACTGGCCGTTACATGCATTTGAGGGACATTTTATAAACATGGTAGTTAATTATTATTGGTAGATGCTATTAATTTATATATATATATATATGATGTAGCTATTTTCATCCCTTCCTAAAAAAGAAATATATATTTATATCTATATCTATATATATATAACAAGAATTACCATTTTTAAAAAATGACAGGTCAAACTTGGTTAGCATTAATGACTTGCCACTAATAGAAAATTTTCTTTATTTTTTAATTAAAGACGGATAGCATTAAATGTTATCCTTAAAATGTGGAGTTTGTTATAAAATATCTGCATCCCCTTTCTTTTTTTTGTTTTTTTATCAAATCAAAACAATCGTTATTTGATATGCTGCATATACATAAAAAAACGTATATCTATAAATAACTAACTACATTTACGAAAAAAATCAAATCTAATCAATCCTAAGCTGCTATACATAAGAAGTGTGTGTAGATAAATACATATGGGATTTACTATAAAATAATATATAATTTTTTGATATAATTCAAGATGAAATCTTATGCAATATCTTTAATATTTTGTAAACTTCAGTATTATTATTCATTCTGATGACTGAAAATGTATTATTATCAAAACAAAAATATTCATCTACCCAATGAAAACACATTAAACTGTATATATGCCAAGATCTCATGATTTTTCTCTATATTAAATTGTACTCTACATGAGTAGAAGAGAGATAATATTTCTCAATATGTTGGAGCAAAGAATTTATTACAATTCTATTTCTTAGTTAATTTCGTAGTTGACATGAATTTTCATTGACAACAATTCTTAACATAACAATTATTATAGTAGCATGCAATGTTTTGATAGAAACATTGTAATAAGAAAATTTTAATATGAGAGAACAAGAAAAAAAAGACTAATTAATAAACAACTTCATTTACGGATTATTTTTGTAAAACTACACAATTTATATTTATTATTTTGGGATTATATATTATAAATATTAAAAATCTAGGCCCCACCTGGGCGGGCTATAGCTCCGCCCAGTGTTGATAAAGTGCTACGACTTGTTTTATAAAGTACAACGCGTAGTTTTGTAAAGTACATCATGTTGTAATATATAAAGTGCACTATTTTATATGGTCTCATATAAATTATGTGTTTTTTAAAACTAGATTTAGTAGAAACAATTGTACATCAAACCTAAATAATCGAGGTAATGTATTATTTGTTATTGTTATTATAAAAGTATATTTATTATTTTAATATTATCTTAATGTTCTGTATTTTTTTTAGTTGATATATTTATTTATTATTTTAATATATATGTAAAAAATATATATAAATATTTTTTATAAATTTTTATAAATTATAGATTTGGCTTATGGACTTAATTGAAATATATTCAACATTTGTGAATTTGTAATTGAGTCCCTATAGTTTACAAAATTTTCAAAAAAAAGTTCTAAACTCCAAAAATTGAGCTCTGTCTGGTCCCGCCGTTCATAGCCGGAGACCTCCTCTTCCAAAGTCGCCACCCTCTCCACCGTTGCAGGTAGAGTCTGACCGCATCATCTCACATTTTTTTTTATTTTTCCATTAATGGCGGAGCTCAAAGCTCCATTTTTACTATCGAATTCATTTGGTTGGAGGCAAAGCTTTACCGTGCATATGGTGTAGTTGAGGATGTTGAAGATGAGTCATTCGCGGTGATGATGGCGTCGGCGCCGACGCCTGGACAATGGAGAAGCGATGGCAAGTTGGTCAGGAGGAATGCGACGAATGCTCGCTGGTGGTGGGGCTGAACGATGGTTGTGAAAGCTTTCGGTCGGCCGCCAACGGGATGTTCGAAGAGACGGGCTGGGGAGGGCTACGTGTATGCGT